AGTAGGTATGAAAGAGTACAATGACAATTTTGCTCATGAATATGAGACTGCCCTGAACACACAGTTTTATATGCAGACATTGACTTTGGAATGCAAATCTGTACAGACACTCATTATGCTCCATTTTGTCTCTCCATTCTGCTTTGCAGTCTTCCTTGTCTAAACAGACCTCGTAATATTTCTCTTCTTCTTGCTCAGTTTTTAGCTTTGCATATCACTGGAAATTTTCCTATTGTGGTTCAGGTCTCCTGCTGAGTCGGTGATTGGGTTGGTGTGAGAAAGGGGAAAAAGCTTGGATTTGTCTAAAGAACTCGGGCCTCTCCCCTTACGTTAGTATGCGTGGCATATACCAGTCTATCCTGACTACAGAACCCATCAACAAAACCAATGAACATTAATATGAAAGCAAACAACTGAAATGTTTTTTTTTTTTAATTAAATGGGTCACTGAAAAAGAATGAAAGTACCTGGAAAAGCACTTACAATCTTTGAAGGAAAGTGTGTAAAGACAGTTAAAGAAAATGTCTCTAAAGCTGAAGAATAAAGAAATGTTTCTAGGGTGACTGTTTTAGTAAAGCGTACTTTACAGCTGTCCTACTAATAACGCTCTTTTAAATGGTGACGTTGAAAATTTGTATATAGGGAAGTCCTAATAGTTTTGCTTATGTAAATGTCACCTGTAACTTGTGTCACCTCTTTTCTTCTTTTTTGCGTCCTTCCAGTTTTGTACCTCCTGAAACAATGAGGCTTTTGCAGTCTTGACCTATGTCAGTAACACTGCCTCTTTTGGCTGAGTTTGCATATGTAAGAAAAAACAAAATCAGAAATTCCAACGACCAGAACAAGTAATGGAAAAGAATTTATTGGCTGCAGTGAAGCATATGATGAGAGACACAAGACCAGGAGAAAAGTTGAGAGATTATTCACTTTAAATTATAGTTAATTTGCAGAGCAATAAATGAATCACAGATGGAGATTCATGCCCCAGTGAGATGTGCATAATACATATATTACCAGCTCAGCCAGTCATTTTCATTGAATAGCTTTTCTTCAGCATTTTGATGACTAAAAGCTCTTTAAACTAACAATATCAGCTCTACCTAGCTCTGTATGGCACTTTTCATTATTAGGCTGCAGATCATTTTAGGGGAGAGTTCACTATAGTATCCCTATTTTACACACAGGGAGACCAACATACAGCACGTAGTTGCACAGAGGGGTTGTCAGAGCTTAGCCCGCTAGGAAAGCCAATAGTTAGCAGAACTTTTGACTTCATGCTTGCTGGTGGATCTCGTTGATGGTGGAGGATACCACCTGCCCATTCACGCTGTCATGGACAATTGCTTTGATCTTTCGATTGGTCAGCCCAGCATGTTCTGAAAGAAAAAGAAAGTTTAATTAGACAAGAAGCAATGCTGAGACAAGATGATGCAGGGAAAGCTTCATTTACAGTAATTTACCAGCTACCTCCTCAGCTGATTTATCTTTACATGTTTCCCTTTAAGTCAATGCTTATTATTGCTCTTTGTGAAATGTACTGCCAGAAAGTCACCCTGAGTCTTGTCCAGGTCAGGGCAAATGAATAATACAGCTGCATCCCAGCCAATGCAAATCTGACTTCAGAGCAGATTAACCTAAATGTCTGTAGGTCATGCTCATGCCAGAATATGAGTTTCCAGACATGCAGATCTTCTGTTTGCTCTCAAGCCCTAACACAGTTTTAGTCACCAAATGGAGTCTCTATGCCTCCTCGTATACCATGAAAGCTTTAGTCTTGAGTCTGAGCTTTGGACGACGTGTTTGACTAACAGAGGTCAGTCTGAAGAACACACAGCAGAATGTGCTCTGAAGAGCAGCCCTTCACAAGACCCATGAATCACTGAAATTATTCTCAAATATGGCCTACGCAAGAATTAACTGCCCTGCAAACCTTTCATAGTTTATTCATGGAAGTTTAAAATTATATTGAGTAAAACTTGATTGGAAATTACAATAATTAAAGAGTCACTATAGAGAATGAAATAAGGGACTTTTACCTTTAGCTTTTGATTCAGATTTTCTTGCTATTCTGCAAAGACATTAAACAGAGAAAAAATAATGATTACAATAATTTCAAGAAGTTATTAATCCCTTTCTTCACACTGATTCTAAGGAGACCTCATAGCACTATGAAAAGAGATAAAATAAAATAAAAAAAAAAGAATGGTGCTTTTATACCACAAGAACCTTTCCTCTTCAGTAGTCTCAGGTGCAGATACCCTCACCTGAAACTGTTCCCATGTACATTCATTATTGCTTCTACTGTGGACAGTTGCAATGGTTTCTCATATGTTCTGAGTTGCTCAGTTTGGTCCCATTTTGGCTTCTGACAAATAACCCCGTACTTGGTGCCATACTGTCCTGCCTCCCTGAGATTCTCAGTTATAAAGGCTGCTAATCTTCCTTTTTCTGATTTTGTATAAGACATACTCTGTTTGTAAGATGAAAGAATAAAGAACAGAGAGGCCCAAAGACTTCTGAATGCAGAGATTTCACACAAGGCAGAGATGGGGAAACCAAACAACCCATCAGCGGAGGGGCAGACTGTACAGGTTTTGTATTTGTAACTGTAGATGCCTAACCAAAAAAGATCTAAACTTGTCTCCAGGCTTCTTTTCAATCTAGACATTGTTTTGGAGATTGGAAATTACTATGAATTTTACTGAAATGGGCTTTTTTTTTTCCTATGCTGCAATAGGCATGCTGTGGGAATGTAGGATTATTATTTTTTTTTAATAAAAAGTTATGTTAATTTAGGTGATCCAAATTACATGGGTACAAGTATACTAAGTGGCTCAAGCTTTTTATTATGATCCATCACATTAAAATACCAACCCTTGATGTAGTGTGGAACTCACAAGCTTTGATTAAGCATAAACAAACAAATAAATAACCCAAATATGAGAACTCTCTTCTCATCTATTCCAGTCAGGGCAGCTTTGCCTTACCCGTCCACATTCCCTTCCAGCAGCAGGCGGTAAGTGGAAATTTCCTTCTCCAGGCGGGTTTTGATCCCAAGAAGAACCTTGTATTGGTTATTTTGCTGCTTAATGTCGTGACGAACCTGGCTTAGCTCTTCCTCACATTTGGAGATGATCTGCTGCATGTTTTGAAGAGCAACGGCATAGTAATTCCGAGTGTCAGCCAAGGTGTCTTCCAGCATGTGTTTCTGACAGAGCAGATAATACCAATGCTATGATTATTATTTATGTGGTAGATACAATGCAGAAATGCCAGCAAATTTGGTCTCTGGCTAGAAGATTGCAAAATTAAGACTGTGGTAATTTAAACACTTATGCATTTGCATGACTATTCATGTGAAGACAGCAGAATCATGAAGCTATGTTGTGTGTGCATAATGAGAGGCAAAACCAGTGTAATTTATCCCTGCCATATTCTTTCTGCTCCAAAGCTGGGCTCCTGTAGCTGTTGACTCTTTTATCAGTTTCTGCGTTCACTGTCCAGAATTGCTCCAAAGTCTCCCAGTCATGGGTATGTGATCTTTAACCTGTACAGGAGCTGAGTAATATTTCTGAAGATTCCCCACCAATATTTTTCACAGTCCAAATATTTCATGCATTATAATAGGGGTTGTAAATATGAAATTAGTATTACTATCTGTTTTCTTGGACATTTTTTCTTTTTAGATCATGGAGTCAGCTATCCCATCCCTTCCTTTTCTTCTTCCCATATTTTATTCTAAGGAGAGACATTGATTTTTCACTTCTTGGTGATAGTTGCTGAATCTATTTTGCATATTCTGGCAAAGTCGAACCTGGTCCAAATTCCAATTTCACTGATACTTTAATAACTCAATAAAGTTACGCTAGGCTATGGATTTAAATGAAGAATTGGTTCATGACAATTTCTGAGAATATATGAAGTAACAGTGACCAGCCAGAGCTGTCTACAATAGATACCTTACTCATCTGTGCCTGCAGCTCGATGTCCAGGGACTGTAAAGTGCGTGTTAGATCCTTGATCTCGTTCTCATTGCGCTGTATCTGTTCAGGATTGGGGGTTGCTGCCAGAGACATAGCTACGCTCTGTGGAGCAAAAGCAAGAGAAAAGCTTGCTGATTCTGGGCAGCCATGTACAGCAACAGGGATCTTTGAAATGAGCAGAAAATAGCTGTTACCTGTTCTTTGTACCAACTGTCCAGGCTTTGACGATTCTTTTCAATTATGGCTTCATAATCTTCTCTTATTTCTGCTAGAATCTTGGCTAAGTCTTCAGGAGGTGCTGCATTTACTTTTACATCGACTTTGAAGTCTTGCGATGAGCGATTTGCTTCCATATGCTATTCATATATTAGCAGAGGAAACAAGCAGACTTGTTTATGAAAGTGGAAAGTTCTCATTCCTGTCTTGTCTTCTTCAGTCCCATCCTCTCACAGTACCCAAAATATTTTTTTCATTATGGTAGGTTAATTATACATATTCAGTTAACACTATTTGAAAATTTATATACGGGTAATACTATGACGTGTTTTAAACTAGTGATTTATATCTGCTTCTGTGGCAGAACTGTGCTGGAGAACTCAATAAAAAACAGGTGAGAAGATCTTTTCCTATAATGTTTCTGGAAGATACATACATAATGAAGAAGCGCTGACATTTTTTATTTATTTATCTATTAGAAACCCAAAACCTCTGATGAAAATCTAACAGTAATTTCATCTTTCTTACCCTGGTTATGTAAATATGTTAATATTTATGGACCTATAACTAAGTTTACAGGAGAGCAATGTAAAAGTTCTGTGTAATTGTTAAAGGAATAATTGGATTAAAGCATATAATTACTGTGTAAACAACATAATTACAGGACAAGTCAAGCAGGTACGGTAACATTCCTTTCGGTGTAGCACAATCTTATGTCCTAGGTACCATTTTCAAAAGCACCCAGGCAAAGTAGCATTTCAGGGTATGACATCACGGCCTCCAAAATGCAGATCAACTGGACATCGTGATGTCTCTGCTGGTTGCCCTGCTTCCAAGAACTGATTTGTTATAGCTGTTCAGCAGTATCCTTGGCTATAAGGGGATCAGCCAAACACAGCTTCACCCACTGCTGTGTAACCCTCGTGTTTCTATTCTCTGTTTTAATAATCCACAGATACTGGGTAGGATGTTTGGTTCTGCATTAGGTAATAACTGAAAACAACATCAGATCAAGCAAGATGAAAACAGCATGTTGTCAAGCAGTGCTATTATATATGTGGGAATAAGAGACACCACTGTGGTATAGCTCCGGAATATTTCAGAGCAGCATGTTTTTTGACAATTATTAAGGATTATCTAATTATTGTGCTTAGGATTTTGCAAGAATAAGTAATTTTACTTGACTTCACCAACCATTCTTTTAAATTTTGATCCTGCAAGAATTCAAGGTCTATTTAGTTCAGGTCAGCCTCCTCAAGGTGACCCTGCTTGAGCTGGGGCGGTGGACAAGGTGACCTTCCAACCTCAGCCACTCTCTGCTTCTGTGCTTCTGTGAAATGATATATCCAGAGTTCAGAGAAAAGTCTGTGATGAGTAAAACTCAACAGCAACCAGTAACGTTTCCTATTTACTTGAAGCCTCTGTGTATTTACATCTAAGTATTTCTCAGAACATTTCTGTCGAGTGTGTAGGTTATTATTAGCTATGTATGACAGATGGGTAGGTGACTAGAAAAGAGTGGGAGAAAATACAGCAATTTGTTATCCTTTCTGAAATCCCAAATTAACTGGTAAAGTAGTACACAAACTTTGTGCCTCATACGACTCTCATTGGCTTCTTCAGAAACATGATTATGTTCTGAATCATCAATCCCATTTATAGATTGTGGATCTTACTCAAAGTTAATTACATGGTAGTGAAGATTTGTGTGATAGCATTTTACCAAGTGGAACTTTTTCTACCTCCTCATGGTCTTTCCTCCTGAGGATGTGCTCTTCTCTCAAGCCTTCAATTTCCATTTCCAGATCTGTTGTAACAATGGTCAGGCCGTCGAGCTCCTTACGCAGGTTCTCAACATCCAGCTGCACTCCCTGCCTGCGAGACTTCTCTGCTTCATACCTTTATGAGGAAAAAGAGGATAAAGCATGCTTGTTGAGAACAGACTGTTTCTAGCCTCTTGCATATGAAATATCAGAGAGAAGTAGACTTGATTAAGTCCTCTATGTACAGAACTAGAGACAACAAAAAACGAAGGAAACAAATTCTGTTTCTGAAATATGTTCTTTGAATATTTTTGAATAGTCTTAAAAATAAGATGGATTTCATTACTGCTTTTCTCTCTTCCTCACAACTCCTCCTATATGGTATAAAACAATTGCTCTTTCTTTCATTTTCCTTTTTGCATTTTAGCATTCACCAGGTTGTGAAAGCTTTGAGAATATGATTCTCAATGATTTGCTGATAAGAATATGAAAGCACTATCAACAGTCAATGCTTTCTGTAATTTTTCCAAAATGATAACTTTTCAGTCCTTCAGAAAACATGAAAAATGTCATGGAAGCCTGTTATTGACATCCCTCTCTAACCTCTTGCAGTTTGCCATCTGTAGTGAGCCAAAGTGAGAAAGACACTGCTCTGTGTTCCCTTGGCATATGAAGCCATTTTGCTCCTCAAATCTCTCCCTTTACTTCCTCTTGCAGTTTGCCATCTGTAGTGAGCCAAAGTCAGAAAGACACTGCTCTGTGTTCCCTTGGGCATATGAAGCAATTTCGCTCCTCAAATCTCTCCCTTTATTTTTTGTGGGCGCTATTGGTGTTTCTACATTCAGTCCATCAGACTAGTTCTGTGATTCCAGTCTCTCAAAGCAGTTCCTCTGTTTCCTTGTTATGACACTATCGAATGACAAAGAAAGGCAAGGCAAGGTAAGGCCTACGCTGTTCGGCATCTTTAAGTTTGTTACAATAAGCCCAAAAGCTGAGATTTTTTTTTTAATAGCTGATCATCATCTGTTGAAAATAAGACAAATCTTCATGATTCCTAAGAAGTCTAACTTACAGAAATGTAAATTCCTTTACTTGGCAAAGATCTGCTTGGAAGTTTTCTGTCCAAACATTTTGGCTTTTTGGTTGGTCTGAGAACTACCTTTCAACAACGTACTGAAAAATGAAACTGCGTGCTGGCAGCCAAGGAAGCACTGGCCCATTTACTGTGCCAGAACTTATGAGACTCCAAGGCAGAAGATACTGAAGGACAGGTATTTCCTGCGGAGCCGGACAGAAGAGGTGATAAGTATAGGAAATAGATTTGGGATGGACTGGGGAAGCATAGTGCAGAGAAAGGTTAATTTGTGTTCCCAGATGACAGTTTTAAATGCCTTTTGTCACAAGTATCAAGTGTCTGCTGTAAAACCTGCTCTTCAGGACCTGAAGTAAGTATCATAAACAGAGTGATGCAAGACTATTCAGCAGTCATTTGTGGTTTTTACATCCTTTTTACCCTTTTGGGTTTTTTTTTCTGTTCTACACTGGTTTTATTCATCCAGTATCACCAGAAAACCTCGGTAAAATCAATTTCATACTGGATTATCAAGAAAAAGCAATACTTTGCTTAGTCCTCCTTCAAGCTTAATCAGAAAACCAAATAAGAGCTTACTTGAGCCTGAAGTCTTCAGATGCCATGTTAGCATTATCAATCTGTAAAAGGATACCGGCATTGGTGATCTTGCCATCCTCAATCTGAAAAACAGAGAATCCAACAGGAGACTCAGTGTTGCCATATGGCGATGGTGAATAATCTGTGCTGTTTTAGACTCCCTGCTGCTTGTAGGAAGCATCTAAATAATTGAAGTCCATTGTTAAGGAGAGTACATGAATAAAAGCAGCTTAGTTTCCTGATTCACCTACATGTTTCTGCACCTTTTGTCCATAATCTCACTCTTCTCTGTGTCTTACTTTTCTGGATATGAAGCAGGAAGAGTCATCTTATTCCTCGCCAGGTAGAGGATATGAATATTACACAGTCTTCATGGTATATTACAGCATAACAATCACTGCCTTCCTCTTTTTTTTTGTGAACTGATTTTGATTCTGTTTAGCATTGCTGGAAAAGCAACCCTGGTCATCTTTGGGGCAAATTTCAGTAAGAACCATTAAGCCGTGCCTGAGTACAATCAAAATGCTGGAATTAATCATATGCTAAAAAGCAAGCATGTGCATAATCCCCTTGCTGAATCCGTGTTGTGATGCAGAGGCATAATGATGACGGTCGCAGCGACTCATGAGCAGGACCCCTCATGTCCACCATGTGCTTCAGTCTGGAGTTGCAAGGATTGTCGTTTTGAGAATAACACTTATAGCTGTACTGAATCGCCCAGCAGCATGGAATGGTTAATTCATGGCTCTGATTTTGCTTTGGGATGTTGAAAATTGCCCTAAAATGTGCAGGAGAAAGTGCACTGCATCATTCATTTAGTGTACTCAGCATGCACTGAAAAGACTTGTAAGTCCCTGTTAATATGAAATAGCTTGGAACTATAGGTCTGAATATGAAAAGCTCAGTATTCCATTCAAAATCTGAAAGAATTCTAGCAGGAACTCATACATAATTAGCAGGAACTAATAATTGTGGGACGTCATGTCCTTTCCTGACAAAGAGGAAAGAGAAGCTCGGCTGCAGTTCCAACGGCTGCCTTCACTCAACACTTACATAGCAAAACAAGGTGCATTATGGCTGCACAGAAATCATTAGCCATTTACAGACCTCTCAGCACCTTGAAGTAAAGATTCCCACACCTAAGTGAATCACAGAGACACAAGGAAATGACAAAATTGTCCTGAAGTGTCAAAAGTTTACCTCTCATGGTAAAAAAGGTGCCTGTGGAATGTTTTAACTAATCTGTTAACAGACTGTACATTCTTGAGCAATTAGCAGCACACCTCGGATACTGCCCTGGGACATGATCAAGGCCAGCTGAAGAAGTATAACAATACCCTAAACGTGTTGCTGCCTGGAGTTCATTGTCAGAGAAGAGGCAATTCTTGAATCCATCCTTAGAGAACGGTAAATTTTACTATGGAAAGTAAGGCAGCAATGAGAAAGCAACACGTGAGTTCTTCAACTTTGTGCCACTTCATAATCATGCAACACAGCAACACATTTATATAAACGCTTTACGACTCTTTCTGTGCAATCTGAAAGAACAAAGAATGCAGCAATGGAGTTACCATTGTCAGTGTTTTGCCAACTTCTGCACGACATCAATTGCTATGCCAGTTAGCAGTGCATTTCAAATGTGGACATTTATCTGTCTATAATTATACAGATTTCTTCACTACATCCATCATGAATATGGCTGCACCACTAATATCCATCTGCAAACTTACAGATAACTTAAAGAAGAACTCACACATTATTATATACGAAATACACTCAAATTCCTTCTCAAAACAGATTTTTTTCAAGAAGGCTTCCTGCACTGACTTCTTCCTCAGCGTGTCTTGTGCCTGTTGTCCAAAAGCATTGGTCTTGTCTCCTTACGCTCCTTACAGAGCGTAAATCAGTTTGCTTATTTAGTGGTACAAGACGTTTGAAGGAGACATTTACCTGAAGACCTGGTGCTATTTTACTCTGTATCTGGTTTAGACTGGAGTCAGGCTGGAGCAAGGCAACTTGCTGCTCCATCTGGCATGTTCATCCACAATTCAGGTATCCAGGGAAGGGTGTGGTCCAAAATGTAGGACCCAAATGATTATATGACTCCAAGTTTAGACAGCCAGTACATCATAGACTTTCTGGGTTATTGGATATAGGATGCTAAATGTTGTCTAAATTTCATTTTAGGTGCTAAATTAGCTTCACCTTTTTAATTCATGGTTAATTAATTTAATTATGGTTAATAATTAGATGCTATATTTTCACTCATTTTGCTGGCAGTCATGGTGCTAATTGCAATAATTTATAGGGAAAGTAAAAATTCTGGGTTAAATCACTGAATTGTCACCTGTAAGTAATCCTTCCCAGTATGAGCACCACGTTCCGTACATACTGGCTGAGCCAGCCACTGGTCTAACAGGTGCCTGTCGCCAGCGACAGCTATTCAAGTGGTGACTTTTAAAGGTGTTTTGGGTACAACCTATTCAAAAGTGAGGGCTTTACCCCAATTGGCATTATGGTTTTAGTCTTATTGTCTTCCTAAATCTTTCTGATTTATTAATTCCAAATCAATGTGAACACATTTATATTCTTGATGAACAAGTTTTTATCTCCGGATCGGTTAAACAAAAGCACTCAAGTGATAGTTCTGGAGACAGATGACATTTCTTTATCCTTAAAACAGAAATAGGTGATGACAATTCTGGCTCTCCTTACACACTGCCTGTGGTCGGAGTGCCTCATCTTCTGCCTGGAGGCAGCACTTTTAACAGTGAGCAGGGAGTTTGATTAAATCCCTGGACTCAATCAGCAAAGGTGTGGGATAACACCATTTCCAAACCCTTTTGAAAAAAAATTTCTCAGGCTCTTGAGAATGCCAAGTAACCAATATTCTAAAAAGCGGAGGGAGAACTACAGCATCGCATTTGGAATATCCTTGGGTTTTGCCCCGTATGGCTATGTAAAGTTAATTACACTGATTAGTCACACAGATGGTTACAGTGCTAAGTATGTTCATTATGAATACAGATTAATATTATGCTTAAATTTGAAGACACGTGAGTTTGGGAGATTGAAAGAGTTACTGTTGAACGTTAATATTAACTACTGGCAGGAACCAGAAATTCTCCTTTTAATTATAGTCAAAACATCCACAAGGAATTTGTCACTGCTATTTTCTTAATTACAATGAAGTATTTTTCCATCTGATTACATAAGCTCATTGGACCCAAAACTCCTGTAGTTTCATTGTCTGCTACCACAGGAATCAAAGAAATGAAATGCAACAGTATGTCTGAAGAGAGCATGCATGAAAGAAGGCAGTCTCTTCAGTTTGCCTGCTTTGTAATTTGCTTGAGTACATGTGCAGTCAAAAAGACCAAATTCTGCCAGACATAGTTACTCAAACCACAGTTTCATGTACAGAAGCGAACGCTTGGCAGCAGACAGATCTCTTTATACTACCAGTCCTTGCAGAATCCTCCTTGTCTCCTTCCAGCCTTTCTTTCTTGTACCCCGTTCTCCTCCTTGCGAACACAAAGAATGTTTATGCCCAGGTCCTGTGACCACTTTCATTAGTATTTCTAACATTTAAAAGGTTTTATTTAACTTTCTTTAAAGGAAAGCCATCAGCACAAAGGATTACCCAGGTTCCTTAAAAGAGCATAGAATGACATAGTCACTTATAGCTCTGACTTACCTGTCTTTGCATGTCAGTGACGTTTTGCTCGTATTGGTTGAAGTCATGCCTCTTTCCGTGAGACTTTGTCTTGTGCCACTCTAGGATGCAGCTTTCCAGCTGAGCGTTAGCTGCTTCTAAGGAACGGACCTTGTCCAGATAGGCAGCCAAACGGTCATTCAGGTTTTGCATAGTCTGTTTTTCATTCCCCCCCAGGAAGATGCTTTCCCCATGGTGCTCGCCGAAGCCTCCCCAAGGTGCCCCTCCTCCAGTAGCCAGCCAGAGGGGTCTGGCGGAGCAGAAGGAGGTATGTGTGCTGCTGGCACCACCATCTGCACTTGAAGGTCTGTAAGAAGTTCCTTGCTGGGCCAAACCACACCCTGCACTACCCCTGAGGGACCCAGAAAAAATTTGAAAAGGGCCTTGGCTGGTACTCATGTTTAGCTCTGTTGTGAATCTAACCCAATGTTTGACTGACTAGCACTGAGCGGCTTCGTAGCCTTCCCTAAGCAGCTTTATGCCTTTTCCTGTGGGAGTTTCCCTTCGATGAATGACTACAGCAACAAGATTGTGTCATCATGAAACGTGCTTCCTCTTGGTCAATTCTGAAGCATTTATGAGCCTGCACACACTGTTGTTATTTGGATTCACAGCCACACACCAGATTGCTTTCCTTTTGTTTGTGTTGGGTTTTTTTTTTCTTTTTCTTTTCATATTATAATAATGAGGTGTGGCTAAAATCAGTAGGTGTGGAACAGGATCAGTTCTGCCTCAGACTTTTTTTCTAACCCTGTAGTTAGTATGTTATGTTTTCCTGCTTGTGAGGGGAAGAGTATCATCCATTACAGAATAAATGCTGGGGCAGGGGGAGGTCTCTCAAGATACTTTCTTTCTGTTGTAATTCACAGGCTTTAGAATTACAGCAGTCTGTGAATCCTGAAACGCAGCATGTCCTATCAAGCTGTCAGTAACGTAGGGACAGCTTCAGCCTGTGAGAGACATGAGGCTTTAATGAAGTTAGCCAACCTCTGTCATTGGACTAAAACTCCAGTCCAAAGTGAGTAAGGCTCAGCTATTCCCTTCAGCTGCCCATTTCCAGTTGAAATACATGAGGATTAGGTACTTAACGATCTTTTCTAGTGATTTTTTTCATTATTTGAGGTGCAGTCATATTTCAGTAGCCTTGTTGAAATAGATAGTAATGCAGGAATTTCTTGCTCTTACTAGTATTAATACTATTAAGGTATTTATCTGTTTAGCTCTAGAAAATATTTAGAATATGACTTTGTAACAACACTTGAAAAATTCAAGTGAGTATTTAAAGCTACCAGCCCTAAAAAATGACCTGGCAATCATGCAAAAATAGTCTTTCTCAAAAGTTTCAGTAACCTTCTATTGAACTTCTTTCATCTAATTCAGAACGGGCAAGTCTGGCTTCTAGCAAGATTTTCTTACTCCTCACACTGATAAGTCAGTGGTAAATTGTGAAGCGTTCCCATGGCAACGGCTGGGGTTGTTGGGTTTACCTTGCCTTTCAGAGTAGTTCTAGACTGCGACTGAGGGATAGGATAGAGGAAGCAGCTTTGGGAAGAGGTGGAAAGCTGAGTGGGCATGGGTGCTCTCAGAAATGATGCGTCCATTTTCCCTCACAGCAGCTGAAGGCTCAGCTCTTTAACAAGATTTTCCTTAGCACTGTTACTCATTCTGAGTGGTGGGGTCGGAGAGACTGCACAAACCAGAATTACACTATCCTGGAAGAAACCTGAAGGAATCTTTTTTTTTTTCTCTGTTTGTGTCATTTGAAATTTTTCAGTAATGAAGAATTGCTGCACTTCATCCTTTCCTGGGATGCCTCCCAGGCCTCCTTTTCTGACTAGGGCAGGTTTTGAGCTCCTCCTTGTGGCTCTGTGTCAGCTCTACTCAGCACCTGTTGATTTTCTTTTTACATTTCCATTGAGTACATATTCCTTCTTATTCCTCATACACTTCATTGGATCAAAATGCTAACATTTTTAATTGTTTGGGGAAATTAATCACTGAAGATAGCGTTTTCCAAAAAGTACAAGATATGGCTATGACAAAATAGTCTGATAACAGCTACTATTAATAGCTACGGTTTGGTATCCACCCTGCTGCTTGAGAGTGAGAAGAGCTTGAAGCACCAGATAAAAAATGAAGGCCTAACTTAAAAAACCCCAAATTCTAATAGAACCAACGATATCCTGCTGTTCAGTTCATCTCACCGGAGATTAATTTCAGCTTGAATTTTCTAGCCTGGCAGTTCAGCAAGCTAATGTTCTGTGAAATATTACATTAAAACATAGATACATACATATATATACATACATAATATTGCATGAAATGAAATGAATCCTTTGTTTCATGTGAAATTACTGAGTGAGATTCACAGCATGGCTGGCAGTGAGGCTGACTCTGTGAGACAGAATAGCCTCTGTCTAACTCCCTGATAGTTTCACACAATATGATAAATAAAATAATAAAACAGAATTGTATTTTTTCTGGCAAGTAGTACAAAAGGAAGGTGACCTGGCACATAGGAAGAGTTTCCTCTGAAGCTCAACCTTTTCGAACTGGAAAAGATGCCACATAGTTTTCATCGACACATCTTGAGGATCAATGGAAAAGACCAAAAAACTTACTTCAAAACCAGACACAGCTCTCTGGCTGGCTGGCACTGTGGAATTGGTTTTAGTCGACTACTGAATCCACAGAGTACAGAATGAAAGCCATGATCCGAGTAAGAAAATAAAACGTTGTCAGCAGATGGCACCATTAGACAGTGGCTGCTCTTTGTTTCATCCAAACTGCTCTCTGTGAGCTGGGGAGCTGTGAGGCAGGGCCAAGCTAGCCAGAACTGAGGAGTGTGTAGTCCCAAGTTGCTTTATTTGGGAATTGTACTTGTTTTACTGAATTGGAACATGAAAAGCAAACTGAACTGAATTGACAGGCTGCAGTTTAAGTATAGGCAGAATATTTTGACACCTACATTTTACAGGTAAATATTCTGCAACCATCACTTGCTGATTCAATTCCTCCATCTGAAATACAAACAGATACGCCTTTGGCTCTGGGATTTCTCTCTCTTGCTGTCTGAGCGCTACATATAGTAGTCACCTGATTTCTGGATCAGGCAAAAATATCATTTGTACTGTTCGATTTTTCTTTTCTGGTAGATTGTGATGTTACTTTGCTGAAGTTTGCAAGAACCTTTTCTCAGTTCTTTCCGGTGAGAATACCAGCAGTGTGTATGATTCTTAGCAGCGGTACACCAATGACCCTGCAGCCTCGTTCGTGGCTGAACTGTGGGGCTGGTGCCAGCAGGGTAGATATCTTTTTTTAAATGTCAGAAAGTAGAAGACAGAAAAATAGTGGCTCTAAGGAGGTTGGAATGAAAATAAAATACATAATTCCATAAATTATATCATTTTTGTAGATATTATTATGTGGATTGAAATAACCAGCGATGAGGCTAACAACAAACTTTCCAAACAGGTTATGTTAGCAAAATACAGTATTTATGTAAATGTTTATATGCTTCTGACATTGGGATTTACTAGCCTCTGAAATTTTTATAAGCATTTCTCTTCAGTTACACTAGAGTAGATTTGCAGGCTAACCCACTGCTGAGGAAAGGCAGTGTTGCTAATGCAGCAGCTACAGTAATGATACAGGCTGGTGACTTTCTTCCTTATGTATGAAAAGCAAAATAGTCACAGCAGACTCTGCTTGAACAGTTCATTTCACCTGGACCTTGCCTAGTGCTTCCTTGAGAGCTAAGGGAATTTGCCTTTTTGCTGAAGGAAGTGCAAGAACATATATGTGTATATATATATATATGGAAAAATATTTCTTTTTTCAGAGGTGCATTTTATTCGTGCATGAATTGTAGTTATGTTGTGCACTTTGAATTCAGACCAAAGAGCTTAAAGATGTTTTGCATTGTCTTCTCAGTTTCTTACAGCTATTAGCTTCAGATTCCTGGGAGAATCTAATTGCACTTTAGATCTGTCTGATCATCATCATCTTTATTATTATTATTATTATTAAAGTTATTATTGTTATTGTTGTTATCCACTGAGCATCTCTTGTTTTGGGTTACAGGAAGCACTGCGTTAGGGAGGTTGTATGGTCGTGTGCATGTCAATGCCGTGCTGACTTCAAAAAAACAACATTAGACTAGACGTATTGGCACAAGCAGAACAGAAACTTTATTATGTAGGTTCTTCTGTAAGGAAACTGTATAGCTACTGACAGAAAACCAGCTTGTCATCTCTGACCCATAGAGCCAAACGATCATGTAGACAGGGAGAGCAAATTGAAGGAAAGACACAAAGCTGTTGCACATTCTTGGGTTACATTCTTGTGATTTGGCGAAAGTAAAAGGATATTTCTCTTAGCATTAGCCAATGTGTAGGCTGCACTGGTTTGATATGGTGTCGTACGCAGGAAGGGATTCAGTATTTCTTTACTGGAATCTCCTTTCACGAGTAGAAGCAGATTTTCCATCATCTTCTATGCCCACGCGAATTCTTCCACTGCTCAGAGCTGTGAGAAAAAAAAAATCAACTGGGGTGGGAGGGGAAAATGCACTTTTAACACACTGACGAGCTGTGCAATGGGGTTTTTTGTTTGTTTCCTCACAAAATCTTTTTCACATATCGAGGGGGGAACTGCCTTTACACCTTATCTTCTCTCCCTACTGGTCCACATCCAGTAAATCTTAAAAGTGCACATCACATGTCAGATTTGGATATATCTTGTATGTTGTGTGAATCAGCAGAGGAACTGAGGAATCTAATATGTGGGAGATTTTCATATTTTAGAATCCCACAGAGAGTTCATGCAATCATTTTGGAAAGCTACTGGTTTCAAAAGTGCACATAAAATAAGATAAAGTATTATATTGTTGTCTCTAAATGATAAAGAATGTGTTCATTGCGGAGAGAATGTAATCTATGTTAGGAAGAAACCTAAGCAAAAAAGATAGATTTATTTAATCCTATTCTGTCAATTCATTTCAGCCTCTCTTTAAATCAAAATTTTTCTTACCATCCTTAGGGTTCACTCCCGACAACCTGTAGAAAAGAAGAAATATTTGATTAATGACCATCACTGACCCTGCCCACTGAACCCATTGATCCATTCAGGAACCACTGCGTGTGAATGGCCATGATTTTGCACTGATCTCTCAATGGGTTGTGTCTTAGTGCATTCTTATTAGTGTTACCCTTAAGGTGCTTTCTGCTCTGAAAGCCACTCCTATGTACTCGACAGGAAATAAGAACAGCAGTCAGAACAGTTCCTGGTCATGATATGTCTCTCTATACTTCTCCTCTTCTTAAAATGTCGTAATCTAGAAACAATGTAAGGAGCTGATTCCTCCTCAGAACTCGAAAGTATTTCTATGTGTAGATCAG